TTTTTGTTCAAAAATAAATGAAGTTAGAGTACAATAATAAAATTTTTCTTTTGCATCAATAGGATAATTTATGAAAATTTTTAACCTTGTTATTTTTTGTCCAATAAATAATAAAATAAAAAATAAAATGGTAAAATTAAGTAAATTTGAAATACAATGATAAAATTCAATAAACTTATCAAATTTTATAATATAGTAGCAAAATTTATCTTAATCTTGAATATGTATTTTAAATTAGGCATTAAGATCAAATTTCTACTGTACTTTGAGTTAATATTGAAAATTGTCATTATACTTTAATTTTATTGAGTTTTATTATTGTATTTTTATTTTTTTATTTTGGATATAAAATAATGAAATTGATTATATTAACATAATATTTTGTGAAATATTTCAATTCCATTTTTTATTATCCACAAATAAAAGAAATTAAAAATAAAGTAGCAATATTTGCCATTTAAATTAGCAGTTTTTTTTTAATATTTTAATTCGTTATTGTTTATAAAAAATTCAATAAAATTGAAAATACAATTAAAAAAATTCAATAAAATTGAAGTACAATGAAAGAATTTAATATTGAGCTAGACATGTCCATATATCAAGCACTAAACATAAATTTTTAAGTTCCTCATGAACATATTTTATTTAATTTTAATTTTAATATATATATATGAAAATATCAATTATTAATATAAATTTTTTAAATAGTTTCAAGCCGGGCTAAAACTAGGCCTGGCTCGACTTACGGAAATCTTAAATTGAGCTATAGTAAAGCGACAAATTACATCACCTCAATCCTTCTTAAATTACAACAAAGATTTTCATACAATAATAGATCTTACAAAGTTTTGTGGCAGAAAAAAAATCTCACCATGTTCAAAGATATCGTATTTTGATTTTTTTTTTTTTTAACGTATGGTCGGGGGTCCAAAAATTTTGTTTGGGCCTAATCTTTTTCTATGTAATTTTAAGAGCAAAAATGACATTCAATTAATAATTAATTAGTGGCTAACTCTTTTGGTCACTTTTAATACTGGATAAAGCCACTTTGGTTGTATCATTGGTAATGGCATTGGTTGGTAAGCTTTGAATGAGAATCTAAATAAATAACAATTTACAAGGAAAGTTCATTGCATGTATAAGAAATTACAGGTGGAAGATAGTTTGTATTTAACTTTTCTCATAAAAGGGAATCACTTACTGAAAAATTTTATCGTAGGATTCAATCATTACAAGAAGTATACCAAACTTGTAGTAATTAGGGTTAATGTTACGAATATTGTCCCTTGAGAAATGGTTTCAACTTGTCCCTTGAGAAGTCCACGTCCTAAACTTAGCCAGAATGAAAAAAAAAAAAAAAAAAAAGACATCCTGGATTGAAGCATGGAATTAAATGCTAGCCCAGACACCCACATGTAATGCTTGGGTTCCACTATGGATAGAATATTGTAACACGTGCTTTTGCAGATCACAAATTTCACAACTTCATGCAAACTTGATAATGGGAAACATCTTTCAATAAATTTAAATGGAAGCTTGTGTTTGTGGCTGTGCCAATAATGGAAAGTCGACCAAAAAATGATATGCGAAGGTAATCAGTTGAAGTGATTGAGATCAGATCGAAAGTAATCGTACGTTTGATCAAGTTTGATGTATTGAAAAATTGGAAAAGGGCCAGGGATGCTTACATTTAATTATTTATAAGTATTAATTTTAAACCATGATTGATTCTACAAAACAAATATTGAAAAAGTTAACGTTAACAATTTTGTAAACGAAACTACAAATTTGATCTTACTCGAGTCGAGATTTGGATAAAAATAAGGATTGAGCCGATGGCATGGTTTTGTAGAGGGATGGAATTGCTGCCGGTGGAAGAATAAGACCTTTCCCTGCTATTATTTCCCTTATCCTAACTTTTTCAACTGCTTTGGTCAATAATTGCTTTCACTCAAATCTCGTCCAGAAAACAAGGCCTAATAATTGGATACGGATCTGAGTGTTGTGCTAGAAATCCTCAATTATGAATCTTAGCGTTTAAGGGAGTGAACATACATAATTGAAGGAGAGCCACCATCTTGTTAAAAATAATTGCCCAATTCACTTTGTCTCGTTGATCTGATCGATTTGAATTGAGTTATTTAGATTCGAAAAAATTTAAATTATTTTAAATTTGAATTATTTCGAGTTTATTTTTTAAGTTTGAAATATTTTGAATATAAATGATTGAATTTCAAAATTAAATCAATCTAATTTTTTTATTTTTAACTAATCATTTATTTCATTTAAATTTTAGGTTGTTTCAAATTTGAGTTAGATAAGTAATTTGTTTATTTTTCAGATCAAATCAAATTAAGTAAAATTTGGATTCAAATGGATATGATCGATTTTTTTTTTTAATTTGAATAAGAAATTTTTTTTGCTTTAAGTAGAATGCAATTTGGATAGAAACTCTAGAGTTGTCTCTCACCTTCTATGCATAATGGGGCAATTAAAAAGAAAAAAAAAACAATAGGGACATAGATGTTTTTTATACACATTATATTATAATGTTTGAGACAATTTGGAGATAGATTTAATAATTCAAGCGTAATTTAATACCAAAAAAAAAAAAAAGATTCAAGTTTGAGAAAAATACACATTCTAAGCTCTTTTATTGATTTAATCAGAAATTCCCTTATTCTATTCCTTTGCTGAACGAACAGCATATCAAAAAAAAATCTTAAAATTTTTTTTCAAAGAAACTTGATTTTTTAATGAAAATTTCCCCAAAACAGTTAATTTCCTTCCTCATATTGATTTTAAGCATTGTTGACACCACTGCCTTAAAATGAATCCAAAATATTGCTCATACTCAGCAATCAGTTGAGCATCACATTTTCTTTCAAAGTTGAAAATGAAGTCCCAGAAATTGCGTTTGTTTTTATGTCACCTAATAAATTTGTCTCTAATACTGACATTGAAATGATCGAGGAAGGAATAAGCGGTTCTGAAAAGAAAAGTACAAGCTTAAAGACAAAAAAAGAAGCAGCTTTCCCTAAGAATTCCTTAATTAGCAGCGGTCAATAAAGCAACACTTTCCCACATCAAGGAATCTTGATATCCACTATTATGGTTTGTGTCATTCAGGTAGCTGTTGGGATTTGACTACGTATATAATATATATAAAGCTGGAATCCAATTACATAAATGGAAGTATTACATTCATTTTTTATCATTAAATTTGAATAAAAATAAATAAAAAATATAATATTTATTATAATGCAAGTAAATCCCTCTCTCATTTACGTGTGTGCACGTATACAGAACAAATATATATCTATCCTGAGAATGATGGGCTTCTGATTGGCAAGCTTGGTAGTTCTCTTTTTGGTTTGTATTTGATTTGCTCGAATTGTTTAATTCCTGATTTTAAACAATATATGAAAATACTTCCGGATTTATTGCAAAAGCTGGAAATAAATGACTGTAGTCCTAAATTAACATCAAAGGTGCATCGATGGAATTCATACCTTCCTTCCTTAAGGAAACAATAAATAAAAAAAAGAGTTGGATATAAAACTAGTGTGGCTAATGTTCGGGAAATAGTGTTGAACCGGTTAAACCGGAGCACAACCCCACACCGTGTAGGAACAAAAATGCAGATGGCAAGAGCCAGGAGCCCAGGAGAAACCTACTTCCAACCAAAAAAGAGGCTCCAAGTAATGATATTTGGGCCGCACTGAGTACAAAAAAATAAATGAAAAGTCTGTTGGAAAGTAAATGCTAATCAATAAGACAAGACTGAAGAGTAGTAGCTTCCGCCCTCCACCTACAATTTCTTACCTAACCAAGAAAGAAACTTTTACTAGGTTCAGGTGACGAATTTTTCCATTGTACTTCGGAGCTAAGTGGCCTATTAGATGCATCATAGACTAGACGTTGCTAACTTAAACCCAAGTGCAGAACTCAAATAAGTACTATATTTCATATGACAGCCACCGGGCGGACCTGTTCCAGGACCGATTTTTCATTCGAATTCGAAAATTTATTCGAAATTTTAAAGAATTTAAACATAAATATTAAATCTATTTAAAGGATTTAGATAAATAAATGAAACTTCAGAAAAAAAAAAAAAAAGACTAAATTTGAATTTCATCATTTAAGGTTTGGATCTAATCCGATCCAAAAATTTTAAAAATATTTTTATTATAATGAGATAAAATCCATTAATTTCATTTTTTATAAAGAATAAGACTCATTTGTTTTATTAGTTATAATAGGATAAAATTAAATTTTTTTTATGCAAAACATTAAAATAATGATTTAATTTTAAATTACATTTAACAAAATTAAATTAAATCAAAACTTAAATGACTCGTAAATTTAATTAAAATTAATTAAATTACTAATTTATAAAAAAAATTATTTTTTTCAATTTTAAATACTAGTGTTTTTTACAGACTTCGATTTTATTATTACATATAAAAATAGACTTAAACAGAAAATGAAGCACGAAAAATCAAGCCGAGCCAAACCTAAGCTTGCTTAAAATACTGAAAAATCATGCATAAACCCGGCCTGTCCCAGCCACTGAACAGCTCTACCACCGGGGAAGGACTTCAATTTTCTACCCTGCATTTCTAGCGCTAGACTAGCAGCAGTTGAAGCTTAAGATGCAACACATTTATCTCAATGTTTATTGATGTGTCCTCCAGTTTGGTCAGGAGACTGTTTGACAAGCAACAAGATTGTAATGGTTCTAATCTAGACAAGATTACATTTTCCAAACAGTATTTGATGATTCTATTGATCATAGCATACTTCATTTCCAAAGGACAATAATCAATAGAAGAAGCAATTTTAAGTTTAACACGCAATGAATCAATACACCAAATTTATTGTTTTCTTGAAATAACGCAAAATTGCTTTGCCAGAGTTCAAAATCCAAAGGCATATGACATTTCTATGTGGCATTTAGTTTGTAAGTGAAAACCCAAACAGAAAAAGGATATACGTACATATATATATATAAATAAAAGATCAGGGCTAATTACCTGTTTAGCCCAAAAAATACGGGGAAAACCCAACTGCTTCCAGTTAGAATGAAACCTATTACCATCAGATTTCCAAATGGTTGATTGTAATGGCTAGCCAATTCTCAGCTCCTCCAAGGCAAAATGGAAAACCCAAAAACTTCCAAGCCTTCACATTCTACAACTATATACACTATTTACATGCAACGAAAAGTTCAAGACCTACTACTATTAAAAGCACTACGAAACACTGCCCAAAACTCTCCTTAGCTCAGATTTCTGTTCTGTGGTTAGCCTGGATGGGTATTTGACATCTAACTTGACCCTCAAATTACCCTTCCTCCCAGTTTCTTTCGAGATAGGCATTCCTTCGTTTTGAACCACAACCTCAGTACCAGGCTTGATGATATCAGTTAGTGGGATCATGAGGTTCCTCCCATCTAGGGTAATCAGGTCGAGAGTCTTACCAGTGAGGGCCTCCAGCAATGTAATCTCCTGATTGACGACCAAATCATTACCATCCCTCTTATAAAGAGCATGTGGCTTCTCCTCTATCACAAAAATAACATCAGCAGGAATTATACCAGGCTCCTCGTTACCCTTCTCAGGGAATGTGATCTTGGTGCCCCTCTTCCAACCAGGTTTTATTTCAATAGTCAATATCTCCTCCACAGTCCTAAACTTACTGCAAGAAAGAAGCTCAGCTGTCAGGCCAAAGTAACAGAGGGAAGCATTCGTGCAAATAACACCACAAAGACAATTAAGGAAAATGAATAGAAACAGACTAATGCAATGCCAGACTTAGTGCCATGAACTGAAAGCATTAGTTCATCCCTCTTTTTCTTCAAAATTGAGAATGCTACAAGAATTCATGATTACTTAATCAGTTTTCTACTTCACTAGATGATCTTAAAAAACTGATAGGTAGCCACAGATAACCAACATGTTCTAATGGCATAGACTAGAAAAGGAGCTGTTGCTTCCATGCATATATTGGTGTTGTAGGCCATGAAAGAAAATCAAGTAGATGAATATCACTCAGGTTGGTAGTGAAAAAGAGGGAAACATAGACACTGGAAATTTTTTAATATGCACGATCCCCGAACCCACCTCATGAAGACAAGTAAAACTAAACACAGTTAACTAACATGCAAAGCTATTGCTCATCTTAAATTTTTATGTTGATCTTCTGCAAACATTCCTGGGATTGTTATTTTCTTTTCCATCATTTCTGCTTGTTTCCCTTTGCTGTTTAATAAAAGTACAACTTAAGCTGTAATATACTATACAAAAGATCATCTAAGTCTACGATATATTATAAGAGAATAACTACTAATTAGTGTCAAATAACGTGTTTTAGTAATGCAAAGATATAGTACTGATCCTAATCAACTTCTTCTATGCGTGGAAGGCCTTTAGTTAAAATGGCTAAATAATAACTCATTGAAATGGGATATTGATGTCCTAGTTGGGAGAATGTGTCGGTGCTCTAATGCCCAAGATTTCAGAAGGGTATACACAAGAGACTATAAACTGTTGGCAGCATGACCAAAGACTGTCCCAATGTAAGTAGATAACCACATTTTTGTGGGGGTTTTGAGAGGGAAATACCTGGGGGGTTAGGGTTACTAGTACTTCATCCATAACTCAAAAGAGCAAAGAGTACCTTAGCTTCATTTGGCACTTTAGAAAATTAAATTTGCAGTAGCATTTACTCCTCACATTACTTCAGGAGCAAACAAGGTCACCTTTGGTTTGGTAATCCTGTTTTAAAACCTACCCATCTAAAACAAATGAAATGATCCCACCTCAAACCATCCACAAAAGCCAAGAAAGAAACCATTATCTATGCCAACCCAAAAGGACAATGAGACATGTTATCATAATCCACAAACAGAAAGAGGTGGGTGAATGGATGTGTTTTTTTCAATTTTTTTTTTTTCAGAAAGGAGGGCAGTGTTGATGGTTTTAAGATGGAATGGTACAATGTACATGTAATGGTTGTTTACCTCATCAAAACCATTCTTATCCCTGAATATTTTCTAGCTGAAAATAAAACACAATTATTCAACTCCTAGAACCTTTGCTTTAGAGACCAAAATCTCCTTGCTACAGCATCTTAAGATCTAGAAGAGATAAGTACCTTACAGAATTTAAAAGGTGAGTTTATTGGGGAGATTCGGGTGACTCAAATCACTAGTTTCACTAGTAAACCTTCTTCTCTATTCCCAAACAGGCATCCTCAATAAAAATGTATATCTGTCAAGGCCATTATGGCAAAAAAGCGGAGCAGTAAGCTGTGAAGTTCTAATATTTGATGACCCTAACAGGAATTCACTTATCATGCACATAGGAGGGAAGCAATGCTTGAACTTAAGATCTCTAACGACCCCGCAATACCTGAAGTGACAATGGCTAACAAATTCAATAACCTCTGCATGCCAAGTGCTAATCTTACATCTAACAAAACATTGTTTAGACTTCTTATAGTCACCAAGAAAACAGAAGAAAACCTTTCATTCCTCGAGTCAAGTCAACCATGTAAGGCCATCACTCCCGACAGCATTGATTTAAGTAAGAAGTGAAATAGCTTCAGTTGACCAGAATGCAGAGTGAACACCTCAAAATATTTTCTAAGAAGATTATTTGACCATAAATAAAACCATCATATAGAACAAGAAATTTAATTACAGAACAAATTGTCCTCTTCAAATTTACAAAATATTAATTCAAGGGAAAGTATCTTAATAACTCACACCCCTAGCATTGGATGCCAAATAGAATATAGTTAAACTCTAATAGAAATATATTATTTGCAGCTTTACAAGAAGCAACTAAAGATATAGTATTGCCTGCCATTGACCAACAAAGGGGTCGTTTCTACTTCCTACTCTAACAAACATTTCACTATCAAACAAACAAAAATCTCATCTTTTCAATAACATAAATCCCAATCAAACAATAAAAAGGAAAAAAAATCATACTATAAGTATCAATACTCTAATCTGATTTTAGTTTAGCCATAATTTATAAAATTAAAAGCATTAAATTTTTTTTTATAAAAAAAGGAACTGAGCTTACCCTGAGGTGAAAGGGTCAAAAACAGTCCTGGAAATCCTCATTTTCTTCTTGGCACCTTTATATAGCTCTTCCAGGCTACAAGGCAACACATTTTCCACAGCAGCCGCTTTCCTCATTTCTCCATTACTAGTACTGCTACTACTCCCGTAACCATTACTATTCCTAAAATACCCTTCACTAAACCCTCTATTTCCCCTTCCACCCCCTCCTCCCCCATTCGCTTCCGCCCCAAACAGCTCTTCGTATATATCATCCGCGTCCCTCAGATTAAACCGGAAAGACCCCGTATTAGGTTGCTGCTGCCTCTGATTATTATTATTATTATTATTATTATAGTAATGGCCAGCTCCGCGCGGATACGACGACGAGGTGGAAGCGTAAGATTGGTTAGGCGAAGAAGAAGGCCGGAATTGTCCGGATTTAAGAGCCTCCTCGCCGTAAAGATCGTAGATCTGTCGTTTCTGCTGATCAGATAAAACATCGTAAGCTTCGGAAATAAGCTTGAATTTGGCTTCGGCTTCAGGTCGTTTGTAAGAAGGGTTCTTGTCGGGGTGCCAAATCATGGCCAGCCTTTTGTAAGCCTTTTTGAGATCGTCGTCGGTGGCGTGGCGGTTCACTTTAAGAATATTGTAATAATCGACGCCCATGCTTTTTTGTTATATCTTGGCTGGTAATCGAGGGAAGGTGGTGGCGGACGGTTACGGAAACGGGAGGGAGAAAGAAGAACGTTAAATATAGAAAACTAGCGAAGATCGGACGGTTAGAAAAAGGACAGTTTTGGGAAGGGAAAGAAATCATAGAATATGAATAATATAGTGTGATGATATCTATTGGTGGGGCCTATCCGAATAACGTGCTGCTAACGACTTGGGATTTTGGAGATACCGTATGACATTGATATTTTTGGCCCTACCACTTTAGCAATATTTATTTTTATATATCGAGTATGCTATCAATTTTTTTTAATTGTAATAAAATTTTAAACAATTTTAATATGATGTTTTAATTATAAATTTATTAATTAATATAATAATTATTTTTAATAAATTTATAATTTATATATAATGTTAAAAATTTTTAAAAATTAAATATTATATTTAACATTTTATTATAATTCAAAAAAAATTTGAGATGTTATCCCTTCTCCATTTGATCTTAAAATAGCATTGAAAATGCTCTTTTAAAATTTTTATGATTTTTTATTGTATTTATTGAGTTCTTAAAGTATATATTGTTTTAATTAAATTTTTATTTAGGAAGTTTGTAAAATAGATGTTTTCATAAAAATGATGTTTGTAAAGGAAAATAAATGTTAAGCAAAAATAAGAAAAGGGCATACATTTATTTGGAAAAAAAAAAGTAAGCGAAAGAAAAAAAATCGGTTGATCACCGTCTTTCCTTGGTTAAACGGTGAAAAGAAAAAAATATAAATTATATTACATTCCTCTAATTATATTTATTTAAATAAAATATTTTATTAACCATTCAAATAATTTTGAGATTAATTATTTTAAATAATTTTGATAGTTAATAAAAAAGCATTTAAATTAAAGAAAGTGTTATTAATAATTAATCCATAAAAGAATGTATGTTTGAAATTATTTCATATAAAAATATTTTTAAAAAATTAATCGAATTATGAGGAAATTCAAGAACTTAAATATTTATTGTTAAGAGAAAATTAACCATAAACTTATTTAAATATTAATATTTTCTTACAATTGTATAAGTTTTGTCACGTTTTTCTTATAATTTTTTTACAATTTATGAAATGATAATAAAATGAAATGATAAAAAAAAAAGATCCAAGCATAAATTGAAAAAATTGTAGAAATTAAAATTATTGACAATAAAAATTTGATGAATGAGTAGCAAAAAATGTGAAGGTTGCATCAACGGATAAGTTTAGAGATGGCAACGAGTCGGGTCAATATGAATTTTTGTTCGTTTCGAATTCGATCCGATTTTATATTAACAATACTTAAAATTGACCTAATTGATTTTTTAAATTATTTTATATTCGAATCTAATTCTATTCGATATTATATAAAATCATATCCGATCAAATCTAAAATTAATAAATATTATTTTTTAATATAAATATAAAAATATATAATTAAATAATTAATTAAAAATAATTTTTTATAAATATATATTGGGTTAGAATAAATTTGTCTAAAACTGGATTTCGATTGGATCTCAAAATTTTTTTTTAATTATTTGATCTGATCTAATCTAAAATCCGATTTAAAAAAAATTGATCCTAAACAATTAAGCCAAGTCAAAATCTATCATATTACAGATAGATTTACCATCTCTAAGTAAGTTTAGATATTATAATGGAGTTCTTTGAAAAATTATAAATGAAAATGACACAAAAATCATTTTACATTTAAAAAAATTTACTTCTTTCATCTTTGCTTATTGGGTAATTAAAAAAATTAAAATTTTTGAGAAGAAGTCAGAAGAGAGAAGCATTGAACCTTCTTATTTATTTTATTTTAATTTAAATGATAGCAAGAACAAAAATTTTCTTATTTCACCTACTTTTCTTTTCTTTTCCTCACATTCTCTTATCCAAAAATCAGCCCTAAATTTTATTATCAAGACTGATGATTCATGTTTAACCTAGTGAAAGAGTGAAAAAAAAGGCAGTGCTGTGCTTCTTTAACAAGTTCAAGGCACATTCATGAGCACTTTCCTGATAAACAATCATAAACTAGATTTTGTAAAAGATTTCAATCTTGATTTGTTTGTTTAGTTTGACTTTAAAGAATAGCTATGAGTTCTACCATTTTATATTCACCAAAATTTGAATAGAAAAAAAATGTTGGACTTTGCTTTCAAGATTCACTTATCAGATTCCTTCATCCATGGGCATGTTCCCTTTCAGGGAATGTTTAACCATAATGACAAGACAATTTTTTATACCAAATTTCGTTCTTAAGGTTTTGAAATTTTTATTTTTTTGAGATCCACTCATCAAAATAATGTTGATAAACACAATGATTTTTACAGTTCATTCAAGAAATTTTCAAGAAAAACCTAACACAATTGCAATGATATTGATCCTGGACTTGTGTCCTAGCTCCTAACATTAATAGTAACGTTGATTATATATATTTTTTATAAAAGATATCGTAATTTAAAAATAAAAAAAAATTTAAATGTTAAGATTTTAATTCAAATTTATTCTATATTATCTTTTAATAATTTTTATATTAACTAATTAAATTAAACTTTATATTTTGATGATATATTTCATTAATGCCAGCTTAAATATTTTTTTGTACTAACCAAAAGTTGTGGACGAGAGTAGTTTATGAAGGATAAGAAAGCAGGCATTTTTCAAAACAATTAATTGGGTTGTTGGTTAGATGCTGCCGACATTTCAGTGATAAATATGCTTGGATTCATGGATGCCCTTGAAGAAGTTTTGGTAAGCCAAGTCTCTGTAGATAAATTCGTGAACAGTTTTTTATATTATAAGTAGATACTTTTGAAAAAAAAAAAAAATCCGTCACTGCATTTTCCTTTACCTTCCAAAGTAGTACTGCATAAGAAAAACAAACATCAAGAGCTTGAGAAAATTTAATAATCAGAAGATCCGGTTAATCCATCAGAAGCCGAGTTTTCTTTTAAATAGATGAGAAACCAAACACTGGAAATATTTTCAAAATATCACACTGCTCATAAACAACCTTCGACTAGATTCTGCACAAAATAGAAATAAAATAATACCAAGTACATCATCAAACAACATGACATGACATGAAAAAATATACATGGACATGCCCTTCACATTCTACCAACAGCTAACAACTCTAGCCGATTAATGCACACTTCATGCAGCAACCAATGAAAAAAACCAAATCCAGCCGTGTAAACATGTTATCGAAGAATATTTCGTCTGCCTGCAAGAACTCACTGTTAAACCTAAATGCCACGTGTGAAGGCACCCGTCGCTACTTTTCAGATATAGAATCGTTTATCGACAACAATGGGTGAGAGAAAAATCCAGCAGGCGCAAGCATAACAAAGTCATCGATCCCACAGCTCAAACAGCGATAGATTGTCCGGTAACCGCATCATGGAGATGCAAAGAACCATCTTTCATCAAGTTAAGGCTCAAGCTCTTGAACCTTTCTCTTGAATACTGCCTCGATGCCTTTCTCCAATCGGTGCCAGCTTTCATCATGGCTACAAATTCATCATAACTGATTCGGCCATCCTGAATAAAAGGTTGACAAGAAAAGAATATGGGGTAACTGTCAAAACATGCTGAAAATGCAAACTTATAGAAGAAAATACATGAAAGAGAGGGGACTAGTCATTTTAGTGAAATTTAACAATCCTCATCTCCTCCCAAGTGCATTGAAATTTTAACCTTCTTGTGCAGAAACTATTTTGACAATTTCTGAAGCAATAATTACTCAGATATGGTAATTTTTGTTACAATAAGCACCATGAAAATGATATTTATAAAAAAGAAATTGGAGGCAAGATAGAAGTCTCCCTAAACATAGGAAATGATTACAGTTGGTATGGCTTGGAAGTCAAACCTTGTCAGTATCAACTTCACGCATGATGTCGTTCAGCGCATCAATATCAGCTTCACCTGATTCATCAGCCAACGCTTCCCGTAACTCATCCAGTTCGATATATCCACTCCCATCTTTGTCAAAGAACATAAATGCTCTGCGGAAATGCTCATCATTCTCCATCTTCTGCAAGTGAATTGTCACTGCTACAAATTCTCCATAGTCTAAGACTCCATTTCCATCAACATCAGCCTAATACAAAATAAATTTTGGATCAACACAAAGAAAATATATGTTGACATGCAAATTCTTGGCAGACATATCAGATTATGGAAATACATATAATCAAATTTAATAATTTATGGCGTAAGTTGTGACCTTTCAGTTAATTAAGCACATGAAACTCTGTAAACAGAATTAAATTTATCCAGTTTAGTGATTAATATTAAAAGATAAGTAGACATAAGAACAAGAAAACCTCTAAATTCTACTTCACTGCTGCATGTTCTCTTGATCACATATGACATGGATAAACTTTGTGATAAGATTTTCTATTAATACATTTCCAATAGATCAATTAGGAGTTCATGTGATCACATTCATAATCTATCTTCTTTTTCACCAAATGTATAAAGCTTACTCTTTGAGCTTGGCTCTCCAAACATAAAATTGAAGAAAAAAGAAGTTTAAGTCTATTGATAGTCCAACACTGGCTTTATAAAAAGTTTCCAACCATGAAACAAGAAGAAAGCAAACAAGAACATATGTGAAACTTTCTTGAAAAATATGCAAGAAAATAAATTCTTCAAATCACCATAGATAAGCTATACATTCGTAAAATGCTACCTGTAGTCCCATTTCCTTAGCGTCTGAGAAAAAAACCAGTTCATGAATTTGTAAACAGATGTCAACATCAATGGCCAACAGGAAATACAAAATTTTCGGATTCAGTGGTACTGCTAGTATAAAATTTTAAAAAATAGAATTGTGAAATATGCTAAATCAGCAATAGATGATTTAAAGAATGGTTCTTCATAATAAAAAAAAAAAAGGAGAGGAGGGGGCCAAGCTGATTTTGCGGTTTATGCTAGATGTGAAACTTCTGCCTCAAAAAGGACCCAAGGACCATTGACAGTATAATTTTCCTAATAATTTCACCAGTTAATGATTGAAATATACAATCAATAGTGCATTACAGGGCATCTCGTAGGTAAAAACAACTTAATAATAAGTAAATAAATTGATAAAAAGTAAATACCTCGTTAAGCATGCTAAAATGATTAATTTGAAAACTCTGTATTTAAGCCAGAGAAAGAATA